AAAAAAAAATCAAAACAACAAATTTTTTTTTGTGAATTTCTCAATATGTCAAATTACTTGCTCAAATTACTGGCAGCAAAATTTTCTTGCAAGTTGAACTGCAAGTAAACAAGCAAGTAGAAATATTTCAATGTGTTAGTAAAATTTTTGTATGTATTGCAACTTTCTTGCAAGTAACTTGTACGTGTAAATGCTGGGTTAAAGTTCTACGCAAATGTTAATTATTTAAAACAAACGTTACCACATCATTAAAAACATGGCACTTGTATGCTACATTTTAAAAAAAACTTAGTAACTAGCACTCTATTGCTGAAACTATATACTTGTTTATTTAATTGGTTATTTCTGGCAAAATTTATATGGCATGTATAAGAAAACCGTGGTCGATTTTTTCGATACCCGATTTACTTTTATTTTACGTATCCACTACGTATAGAACGCATTTAGGAAAAGTGTACAATGTCAAAAGCTTTTACTACACTTTTTAGAATGTGATACTTTGTAAAGTTCACGTCATAAGCATACGGTTGAAGTCACGGTTTCTATGTATACTTCAAAAATTTTAAAATTCATTAAAAATAAATAACATAATAGGTAACTATTGTCGCCTATATATACATCTTGAAGCCCACTTTAAAAGGATTTCGAGCTCATACAAACGCTACTTGATTGGATTCGCCATGTAAATGAAGTATATGAATCCTCCATTGCGTATCGCGTATTACATCTCTACTCGATTTACAGTCAGCACTTATTGTGTGACATTTGATTTTTTTTCTTTTGATATACATACATTATGTGAATTTCAATATGTATTTATTTCTTAAATGGAGAGTTTAGGTGTAATATTGTATGTTTAAGTTTTAAAAGTTGTAAAGGTTTATGCACATTTAGTGCATTAGAAAAAATAACAAGTTTTCCAATCAAGCTTTTTTCAATTTTTTCTTAAAGTTAAATAAAAGGTGTGTTTGGTTTTCTATATTGTTATAATAAAGTGTTATAGCGGAATAAAAAAAGTTTTAGCAATTACTGCGAAAACTTGATGTTACTATTTACTTATTATAATATTATTGAAGATTTAATGAAAATTATATGCAAGAAAAATCTGGTATCTTTTTTTCAATAGGCTGTAGCTTTAAAACGAGTACATTCACCTCGCCCTCATTAAATTTTTTGCTGGAAACTGATCAAGGAATCATCCCTGAAATTATTTTCCACCTTATGCAAAGCACCCTGTATACATACAAGCATGTCGGTAATAATTATATTCTTGAAGTATGAATCAGTATACATACACCTTTCTTTTTTCTTTATCATTACCTAATATATACTGTGTATCTACTTTACCAGATACAAGCACATGTATATAAATTATACATTATAACAATACATAAAATTTTAAACTCATATCTATTGCTTTCATACATTCGACTGAAATTTGATAAAAAATTTATTTGCAAATGTCCAATCAAATCAAGCAAAATCGGACGAGAAAAATTGAGTCTTGTCTAAACTTTTTTGACAAAAATAAAATAACAAGAATAAATTTTTCTCGTTATATGCGATCAGCTGTTTATTACAGTCAACAAAGTTTAATATTTTAAATTTTCTTTTATAGTTAGTACAATTTTTTTTACAAAATTTTTGAAAATTTATATTAAAAATGTCTCAAAAAATATTAATTAAATTAAAACAATTTAAATTTAAACAATTAATTAAACAATTTACATTTATTTCATCATTAGAAAAAAAAAGAATGTTTATGGGATGTTGAATCTAAATATTTTAAAAATGTTTATGAAAAACAATATACATTGTAGTATTATAGCCTATGAAATATACAAATATATACAAATATGCCTCGATGTGAATGAAAAAAATTTCATTTGACAACATAAAATCCAATAAAGTTTGTTGTGTTAAAAGAAATTTTCCAATTGACAATCCAATTTCATGATTGTCAAATTTAATGTGTTAATGCTACGTAAGATAGTATTGTTTTTGGTTTTTATTTCAAGATTCAGAGCGGTTTTCGGTCCGAACACGAAAACTGAATTAATTTTTTACTATTGGTAAAGTGTTGGTTAGCCAAATAAATACATTATAAAAATTCTTGCAATTACTGCTTTATTACAAATAATGTCGCATAGACTTAAGAAACTAAACTATTTGAAATTACTAATTTTAGTAATTCAAATTGCTTCTAAAAAATTACAAACTATTGGATTGTTTAATTGCGTGCGATCATACAGTTTGCTATTATCAATTGAAAATAGTAAATTTAACTCAAAATGTGTGAAAAAATTCAAATTTTTTAAAAATTTGAAAAAAAATGTTTTTAATGTTTTTTTAAACTAAAGTTTTTTAAACAAAATTTCTTTTTTTGAAATAAAATTTTTTTGTATCAAATTTGTATAAATTGTTTTTTGTGTAATTTTTTTTGGCATAATATTCAAGTATTTATCAATTAATCAAGTAAGCAAATATTTAAATTATTCTAATTGATTTCAATTTCAAATCAAATTGAATATTCAATTTGGAAAGGCTAAATTAATTTTTTAATATTAAAAGAAATGGAAAAAAAGCATCTGAAGTGAAAGAAATTAATTATGAAACGACTATTATACTTATATTTTGAGAAAGTACATCTTTAGTTTTTGATACTTTTTGTATTGCTGAATATTTCCCATCCCTTGTTGATAGCAAAATTGCTGTAAGAGAATAACGATTAAATAGTACTAAAACAGTTTATTAATTTAAATATTAATTTAAATATACATAAGTACAAAATGGAAAGTAATGATAGCAGTGTGAGTTAAATTTCATAATTTTTTCAAAAATATTATACGTTTTACTTATAAAATTTATTTCAGAAATCAAATTCTTCAGAGACAGATTCTAACGGAGGAATCTTAAAAAACTTAATTTGCCGCTATATGAATAGTGAATTGCAAATTCAAAACGATTGTTTAAACGGGAATATTTCCGAGTTAACTATTCAATTGAAGGAAAAATGTTCCAATATAATCACTTTAGAAAATAAAATTAAAAATGATAGTGAATGGAAAAAGTGTTCTTTATTACAGTAATCGCTTCAATTTAACTACCTCAAAATAATTTTTGTATCCACCTAAATTTCAATATTTTCCCTTTAGCTTGCAAAAAGGTTGTTCTGTTTTGGAAAATTTGGTGAACCTGTATAATGACGTAGCAAGATTTGTCCAAGTTTTAATTCAGAAAAAAGCAAAACTTACAAAACGTATTAAAGACATTGATACATTTTTGAAAAATGATTACAGTCGCGTATTGGAGCAACTCGAAGCTACAAAAGAAACTCAAATTGATTATACTAAGAGTTTGGAATATAATAATGCACTAAAAAAGGTGAGTATTTAATTAAAAATTTCAATTCATATAAAGTGGATATCCATATAAATGTATTGTATTACACCAAAATTTTCAAATACAACATAACGAAAGAAATTTGCGTTTTTATATTTTAAATATGTAAAAACGGAATTTAAAAACATTAATCATAAAAAATGATAAATATGTATATCTTTCTTTGTCAATCGTATGATATTTTTTAGGAAAACGAAAATCTAACTTTGGAAATTAAAAGCTTGCAAAAAGAAAATTCTGAGTTCAAAGAAAAGCATCAGGTAAAATTATACTTCATAATTATAACACAATATTTATAAATTTTGTTTTTAAGGATAACCTTAAAACTCTGCAAACAAATGAAAAGATTTTGACTAATTTGAAACTAGAGAAAGATCAAATTTCGTTGAAAAACAAAAGTTTGAATGATTCTGTGCAGAATTTAACCAAAGAACTCACAAATGAAAAGGAGAATAATAGGAAGGCAAAGAAAAAGAAATTTAGCAAATATACTTACATATGTACATGTCAGTCCCTATATGTAAATGCCTTTTATTTTTTTTTAGCAAAGTAACGAAATTGAAAAATTAAGGAATGAAATAAAAGAAAAATACTCTAAAATACAGCAGCTTCAGCCTGGAGAAGTCAGTCCGAATACAATGGTCAATGTAAGCAAATTTATTTTAATCATTTTTGTAGTTAAAACTTTCAGATACATTGATTTTAAAGTAAATTTTAATAATAAATTGGACAGAGAAATAAATTTATGTAGATATTCTTAAAAAAAATTATTTAATTTTTATTTGACGATGATGGAACATTGATATAGCCATCAAAATTTCCTAATACTACTAAAATAATCGATTATAACTCTAATGAGAGTGACGATTTAAGTGAAGAAGAAAGTGATTTTAATATATCTTTTATGGATGAAAAAATATGCGAAACAGATCACATAAGCGTACATGAAAAAATGGCACAGCTTGCTGTAAAATAAATATATTTTTATTTTAACCAAAATTTCATTAAGTATTATTTTAGAGAACAACTTATTACTTTAATTCTCACAAAAGGCCGGCACAAAAAATTATAGAAGACGCTACAGATCGGGTACACGTTTATATTTTTAAAAATAAAATAAAAATTACTCTTTATTAATATATGCATGTACGTTAAATTATTTTATTTATTTTCAGAAAATTGCTCGGGTAAGATTAAATTTTCTAGAAAGAAATTCATGGTTATGAAATTTTTACACATTACTTAATTTAAAAAAACATTTTACAACCTATTTTTAAATTTTTAGGTAGAGTAATTGTGTTTTACGATAAGTAATCACAAAAGATTTGATTATATAAGCATGTCCTGCTATGCTATTTGGTGTTTTGAGAAAATATTTAGTTTTAAAAATTAAGTTTTTCTACGATAAGGATAATTGAAGTTGCTTCCTTATATGATATTTGTTTTAAAATACATTGTACATACATATTCAATACTTTTTTGATTTCGATATTCCGTTTAAAATTCTTAAGTGACAGGAGAAAAACTTTAACTTTGTTCCTAGAAGATAATTATCAATTTAATTCGCTTATTGTATTTAATATAAATTAAACATCATATTCATTTTAATTCTATATATCGTATTTTTTATTTATTAAGTACAAGTGCGAATATGCAGTATAAAAAGTGTAAAAATTTTAATTCTAAATATCGAATATTATATATCTTAAATTTTATTTCAAAAACTTACTACGAACATCAAAAGACTTGATTCGCTACTTGGTTGACTTATAGCAATTGAAATTAATTTTTATTTTGATCTAAATGGTTAATCGTTGTATAAAAATTAAAAAAAAGAGTATTTTAATATACATATGTATCTAATAATAATAGTTTTTTGGTTTGTATTCCGGAATAATGAAAAAAATAAATAGATGAAACAAATTCTACATGTGTTAAAATTTTATAAATTCAATGATGAACACTTTGTTTTGTAATTTAAAAAACTTTTAAAAATAATTTTTGGTGTAGATATTTCAAAGAATATAATATTTTCGTTGTCATTCATAAATATTATGCAATTAAAGTTTATACCAAAACTTAAAAAAATAAAAAAGTTGAAAAGTAAAAAAAACTGTTATCTGAAATAATTATAAAATATCTTAAATATCTAATACTGCTACAACCTCTAAAAATTAATAAACAACTTCTTGACACGATTTGACAATATTTCACTTATAATTTTGTCATTTCATATATGATTATGGCTTGCTAAAGAATATTTCATTCCTTGAATAAATTATTGTATATTGTGACTTTTACCAACGTAGTGATGATCCTTTATTTAACCCATTTGAACTTAAATGAAAATTTTTATTCAAAATGCATTAATTTTAATTTCTTCTTAACTTACTTAACTACGCCTATCGCTTGAGATGGACTTAAAGTTATCAGGGGGGTGAGTCTTTCCACAAACCTAGCATAATTTCTTTCTAATTCTTTCTGATAATCCTTTTGATCAGCACAAATCAAGTTTTTATTTTTCTTCAAGGCATCTGAACATCTCTTACTGAATTCCTTGAAACATAATCTCAGTTTGTTTTGATGTTTGGTTGGTATAGATGTCCCGTCAGACAAACCAGATAAAAAAACCAGAGCCATTTCCATCGGACCTTGGTTTACTGTGGTTCCAATGCAACCTTGTAAAACCATTTGCAATATCTTAGGGTCAGCTGGCTCTTGGTTGGTAGCAGATGCCAATTCAGCAGTTTTCTTTTGAATATCCTCAATAGCTACAGCAATTGGCTCTAATATTATTTGTTGCCTTGCCACAACTTGAATTCTCGTTTTGACATAAGGGAAATGATTAGCAGTTGTTAGGATTGTTTTACGCTTGCATTGCTCATGCAATTCTCCATGTGCTTTACCAGATTTTGTAAAAGGTGTAGCAAAAATGAATCTCTCTGCAAAAAAATAATTTAGTTTATAATATTCTGATACGGAACAATTATTAATTACTTATATTGAAATTACGCTCGAAATAGGTTTCTCTGTGCCGTAATTCCCATGTTTCAAAGTATGGTTCAACGTAAGTTATCTGAATGTAGGCCTTTTCAGGATCTAAAGAATTCACATCTACTATATTCGAATCTTTAATTATATGAACGGTGTCAGGACCAAATCGATCTGTGTAAAAGTTTTGTAACCGACTAAATATTTCAGAGAGTTTCGTCAAAGTAGGTTCTTTATATATAAACTCTTGCTGATCTAAATCTCCAAATTTGGTTCCATAAAATCCTACTCTAAAATAGGTGCCAAACACCCGTTTTCCTTGAAGTTGAGAAATTCGATTAAATGCTTCTTGTAATTTTCCATGAACTTTCCCCAATTTTTGGAAATCTCTGTTAGCTTCCAAAATTGGGATTAATATTTTATATACTTCATTCATTGCCTCATACATTCCAGCAATTTGAAAGGAATTTGCAGCTTCTTCTAACAATGCTTTTAAGCCACTTTCCGTAAAATGGTTTCCTAAACAAATACCATCCTCTCCAGGGTTCAAAACGTCATCAGAAACTGCAGACTCCAACAAAGCATTGGGTGTAATCTTTTGAAAAGTCACAGCACCTATTGGCAAATGTGTTTGGGACTCTAACATGCTTAAGTATTCAGCTACCAAAGCAGCACTACTTACGTAACACATTGCAGCTTCAGTGTGATTCGCTCGCTCGCGATGTTTTTTAGCCATATTTTCAAGCCAAGTGAGACGTAAATCGGGATTATTCTGATACCCCTTAGCTATACGATGCATTAGATCTAAAAGCATTTCAGGATCTTCTTGATACTCTTTCATTTTTACGGTATCAGAAAGAATCATATGCAAATTGAACAATAGGTCTTGAACTTGCTCCGGGAAAGATGTTTCTTGTAAATCAATGTCCGATTCGGCATATACTAATATTGTTTTCAAAGCCCGGCGCAGTGACTGTTCACTAAAAGTGGAGCTTGTTCCTACCAAGGAACTAAGGGACATAGTAACTTGCATTTTAACCCTAGCAAAGTTCTAAAAATTTAAAATAAAAACGTGTAATTATTTTAATATCATTTACATAACACAATATCGTATTATTTAAATAATATTTTAGATAAATCAAAAAATTCGAATAGAAGTAAGAATAAAAAGAAAAAAAATTGTAAAAGCATAGATATGTATATTCAAAAAGCAAAAACTCTTACGTTTCCAATTTCAAAATTTTGTCTCATCAATAAATATAACGAAGCAGCCGCTTGTGATCTTATAGCTGGTAACTGTGACCCACAATGCTTTAAAAGTAAGAGACATAAATCGGCGCAAATATCTGTTTCTTCATCAAATAGTAAATTGTGAAACTTAAAAATTAAGGATCTTTGTGAGGCAAATAAATTTTGTAGCGCTAAAGTACTTTGATTTCTAGATAAAGCATGTAACAAGACTTTCAAAACAGTTCCCAACAAACTGTTATGCATTTCAGAATTACTTGACACTTGAATAATTATTTCAAGCGTGTCAAGTACTACCATTGTAATTTCAGTTGCTAATGTACCCTCTATATAATAAGCAATTTCGATTTCAGTGTCATTTTTAACAGAAGTATCGTAAAATTGATTGGTCCTGTATGGCATTTGGTCTTTACGCCATCTGAATTTTTCTGTGGAATTTTTATCTTTTCGTCGGTTCATAAAATCGTTCCGAGCTGAACCAGTACCACGAATATACTCTTCTAGCTTTTCTTTCATATCCGGCGTTTTACGAAAACTTTGTGTTTTTCTCTTAATAATGGGTAATCGTTTTTGTCCCTTATATTCAAAACATGGAATACATACATTTAAAACTTGAAGCATTTGATGTACACGATGAGGACTTAGTCCTAAAATCCACCTGTATAGTACAGTCTTTTCAAGATTTTTTACGACCCAAAGAAAACAAGCTAAAAGATGTCTCGTATTTTCACTGCTTAGTGGTGATTTGTTTTTGACTGGTTCAGGAACATATGAATAAGAACGGCTACCCGAGATGGCGTAAGCAACTTCAGGACTTATAGTCGAAGTTGTAATTCCAGATGTATGTGGTCCTTGATAGTCTTCAAGTAAACCGATGCTTTGTAAGCGATCGTGAGTATCTAAAATATATTCATGGAGTTGAGGAATTGTGTCCATAACTATGCTTATCAAAGGTAGGTACAGTGCAGCAACTCGTGCTCTCGCATCCGGATCAGAATATCTTTCATCTAAATCATGTGATGTCATTAAATTTCGTACGCACCTAATTGCTTTCCCATGAAGATTTGGATTTCTAAAAATTCAATGTAAAACAAAAATACTACAGAAAGAACTTCTTAAAACTTACGAAACATCTAGTACCGTTGCCAATTCACTTAATATTAAGCCAATCAAGAAATGTTGTTGTCTGAATTCTGGACTTAAATCAGCATATAACGCTTTGTCAATACTACCCTGTAAAGTAAAAGAAAAAGTAAGTGAGAATATAACAATCTGAAATAAAATTTAAGTTTACCAAATTGCTTATATAGGAACTCTGACTTGTATTTGAAATTATACTTGGAGTTGGACTGCAAGGCGCAGAAATTGTGGTATATGATGTTGCAAATGGTAAATTTAGAGCAACAAAGTGCTCATGACTACAAACTATTCGTAAAAAATCTATTTTATAGTGCATCAAATCTGGAATCGACGTATTTTTAGATATCAGAACTTTAAAGTAATTTCTAACCAAGCTGAAGACGAAACCTCTATCCATTACACTAAAAAGATCAAAAACAAAAAATGCAAGACTTGCATTTAGCGATTGCGCTAGTTTAGGATCATTGCTATGATAGCTAACAACTTTGTTAGCAACTAAATGAACTAAAGTTGATAAATCATCTGTAAATTGATGCGGGAAGCGATTTTTTCGTGGTGAATTCAATGAATGCGTGAAATCTAAATGTTCTATCATTGATTTTATAATTAATTCAAATATAAACCACGAATTGCTCATTGCCAATTCAGTAGCCTTCCCATTTGCAACAACCCAATGCAAAGCAAGCTCTTCATGTAATAATCTAATTTGTCCTTCACGATTTGTATAAGTAGGGGAGGTTGCTTCATGTATAATATCTGAAAAAAAGAGAAGGAAAATAAGTTTGTTTTCTTAGTAAAAGATTTTCCATAAAAAAACTTACGGTCCAAACTTTTCCCAAATTCTTTCGTAATGGAAAATTCTTTTTGAGTCCCAATTAGTTCCTCTGCATGACTACGACTATAAGTGAGCCGTCGTCTTCCAGCGAATGGGTGTGGAATTTTGCACTGGAATTGAATATAAGTGGAAAGAAGATTTTGTCGGCCGTACTGATCCACAATTAAATCATCACACAGAATCTGCAATTAAAAAGTTTCTTTTATTAATAATAAATAGTTCATTTTACTTTACCTACCGAAAGATTTGCGGAAACTAAGCACATAACTTCAAAAACAGTAGGTCCCAAGGACATGCTCTGGCCTCCTATTTTATACGATGTAACAAGTAATTCAATTAGTTTATCCATAATAAGTGGCAAATTTTTGACCAGTGATTCTCTATCAGCGTTTTCAATCAACAATAAGCACTTTTTCATTTCTTTTTCCATGTTGCTTTCTCCAATTCTGGGAGGGATTTTTCTTGATTCTAAATATTCGCAGTTAATTATGAATCTTTAATTGAAGAAAACCTGAACAAACTATAATAATTTTAAAATGTAAATATCTTTACCTATCTAAGTGTTCGTCTAGTGTATGAACAGATGTTACAGCGTCGACACCCACGGTAAAAACCGGACGATGATTATCTAACCATTTTGTTCCAGGCAATTGTACATTCGGTGGGATGAAAGAATAATTCTCAGGTGGAGTTTCAACCATAACTGGTAAAGTATGTTCTCCAATTTTCAATCGACCATCTTCCATTAACGGAATCCATGTATATCCAATTGGCGTTTCGATAGCATTTTGTATTTCTTGTGGTTTTTTTTGGCAAGAAATGTGATACAAAGTAAAGAGAATGTGATGATTTTGATTTAAATTTGCTGGTAGAAGTATTTTTATTTCATCATAAAATGTGGGACATTTGTTATGATAATTAACTGCAGTATATGCTTCAGTTGTGAACTCGGGACAAGAAGATTTACCGAAAATGGCCGGTAACGCAGCATCTTGTGTTTCGCCAGCCATTAATTGTACCTTCACTGCTATATTCCGCGCAGATCCACCTCTTGAAGAGAAATTTAACTCTTTTGGGCTAACAAAAAGCAAATTTCTGTACACGTAATGTGGATTATAGATAGATGTGGCAGGGAATTCCAAAATTTCTTTGATCGGACGTGTTTTGTCGTCTAAAATGAATTATAAATTTAGATATTTTCATAAAAACCCTATATATATTCTGTACCTGGGTACGGTTTGATTTTAGCCAGCTCCGGTGTTAAAGCGTATCGAATTTTTTCTGGACAAGGCGATACCTCTACTGTTACTGATCCCGGTATACATTTGTATTTTTTTATAACAGTGCCGGGTCGTTTGAGTTCTGGCAAAAATTTGTATAGATCCTCGTCTTTCATTTTTTCTGATTCCTAACAATATTTTGTAGAAGCCAAGAAGACATTTAATTTAAAAAAATTAATTTATGTACCTGTTTGAAAAAGCTGGTCACAGTTATAGAAGTCGGTTTAAAAGTCTCAATGCTATGGGCAAAATCATCTGGTGACCAGGAACGACGTTTTTCACCATTTTTCCTATCGAGAGATCCACGTCTTGTTAATGTCCCCATATCGCTAGCTTTCCTTCGTAATTGATCAAAACTACTTGTAGACGATTTTCTATCTAAGCTATTTGAACTGGAAGTAGTTCCAATACTTCCACTATCTTTCTCATCCTTGTCCATATTGTCACCATTGAAAATTTTTGTTAAATATATTCCAGTCCAAGCAAATGGCATTCGATATTTACCAAGCCTGTCGCAGAAATCAGCAGCATTTGATTTTGCTTTGTCACGATATTTGTCTTTGTCCTCTTTTAAATATGGTTCAACAGAATCTTTTATGTCTCCTTGTAAAACTTTTTCAAGACGAATTACCAAAAACAAATCGTTACTTGGATATGTAATTTCGAATACAGCAGTTCTGGATTGTGTGCTAACATCACTATATGGAACATGCGATGATAGCATTTTTTTAATACTTTCTGAATTCATATCAAAATAAAAATTCTCTGATATTTTTTTCTTTTCTTTAGCATCATAAATAGCCATAGATGCGAAAATTGGTTCAACTTCTAATTCTAATTTAAGTTGCAAACATTTAACCACAATGCGATGACCTAAATGTTCGACAGGAATCTCAGCTGGAATTCGTTTTTCGATTGCATCCTCAGGGTCTGCTTCTGGATATAAACTAAAGAGCGAATATTGTCTGTCATCTTGTCTTCGAGATTCATTTTCTTGATCCACTTGCTCTCCAGGTAAATTATCCAACAAACTAGGAATCAGAGGATCATTTACAGACCGCCTTAAGTCAAAGCTAGCCCAAGATCCTCTTGGAGTAAGCGTATCCGTACAAGATGACACCGACGATAAACTAGCTATAGATTGACGGCTACTTGGAGTACAACTTTCACTTTTATCTGTTAATGTTGTTAAAGTATCATCAAAAGATACAAAGTCTTTATCAATTTCATATTCTTGTTGATAATTTGTTGGACTAATAGCTCCTTTATCAATTCTTTCTTTCGTATAACATGAGCTAGAATAATGGCGTTGGGCTAATTCGGCAGTTTTCCAATCTCTTGTGAAGTATTGAACACATTCTTGGACATGTAATGGCAGCTCGGATCTAGCGGGGTAAAAAAATTCATTTAATTGTGAAAAAGAGGTAGAAACTATAAAAATTACATATTTTCTTTAGGTATAATATGTTCAACCGTTCGAATTTTTCTTGGTAAAATCTTTACTTGAACGTCGTTTGGAGGGAAATCCAACAAATAATTCAAAGGATCTCGACATACAGTATTAGAATGTTGAATGAGGAATTCTTCATAATCTAATGGCTCAACCAGTTCGTTTAAAGATATCTTTAAGATAAGATTAACAAAAAATATTTAAAACTAAATACTTCAAAACAACAAATTTATTACTTACTGATGATGAGCATATCGAACTATTATCGCTTTTAGCTGTTAAATGATAACTTGCAACATTCTTACGCACATCAGATGCTCCTTGCCTAAAAAGTAGAAAGCAACCATCATTTTTACCGCAGACTGGGCGAGGTCATATTATTTCTATTACTTACTTCGATAATTTTTGTGCAAATGCTCGCTGAACCGACATCTTATATATATATAATTAAAGAAATGTCATCAAAAATTTTTCAGTAATTTTTCTTTTTTAATTATTAAGCCATTACAACATAGATTGTTCTTATTTTCAAAATTTAATTCTTACTTTTTTCAGCAATTGCATTGCAAAAAATACCTATTGTTGGATGATGATTGCTGTATATTATGTACTTTTTTGACAAATTATAAAAACTTCTTTTTTGACACTTTCTACATGACAGTGATACCAAAACTTTATCCGTATATTACTTGGGAATTGGCTGTTATCCATTGCGTTGCGTATCGCGGACTCTTGACATTACAAAAAATTTAGGCGTGGACACTGCTTTTTTTGTGAATGCATTTGTAAAATTGCATACCTATGTATGTATTTTTGGTGAAATGACATTTCTGAAAAATCATTTTTTTTTTGTTGTTTTTTTGGAATAATGAGGATTTTTGCGAAATATTGAAAAAATGAACAGAGTCTGGAAGGTTTTTTTTTAAATAAATTTTTTAATGTTTTTATAACACAGAATTTTAAGAATATAAGCACTAGCAAAGAAGAAAAAGTTTGAATTTTAAGTTTTTCTAAATAAAAATTTGAAAAAAAGCTGATCTTGTGGGAGATAAATATAATAAATAAATTAATTAATTACTAACATCCAACTAATTTGGTTGAGTTATACAACCAAACTAATTTGGTTGTACTAATAACAACCAAATAATTTGATTGGGTTTTCTCCGATACTTTTAATATTATGGAGGGGGATGGCCAGGTCGATATTATTTTTACAGATAAGGCGTTTGATAAGGCGTTTTATACTATTCATCATCAGGTTATTCTAAGAAAGTTGGCTGCCGTGGGCTTTTCTTTTCGTAGCTTGATGTGTGTTTATTCCTATTTGACTTGCAGGTTTTATCAGGTTTCTTTCCCTTCGCTCTGTCTGATGTCTGCTGTGCCGCGTCGGGTGTTCCGCAGGACTCCATACTTTTTTTAGTCGCGACTAACTTTGCTTTTGGTTTTATATATGACTCCAAGGTTGTGAGGACGGTTCGGTCTGAGGTTGATTGTCTAGAGTTGCAGAGTGATTTGGACAGTTTTTGTGATTGGTGTCAGGTAAATGGCTTGGAACTAAATGTTAGTAAGTGTCGGGTCATGAGCTTTTTCCGGAGAGAGTCTTCTGTTGTGCGGCATGACTATCGTCTTAACAGGGTGGTATTGGGGAGGGTGGGCGCTTTTTGTGATCTTGGAGCTATTCTTGATCACAGGCTGGATTTTGGTGCGCATTTGAATATGATCCTTGGTGGGGCTAATTCGGAGCTGGGTTTTGTAATGAGGTGGGCTAGGGATTTCCTTGATCCGATGTTGCGAAACATTTGTATGTGTCCCTTGTTAGGTCAATTCTTGGGTATGCTTGTCAGGTTTGGGCACCCTTTCGTGTTGTAGATATTTCTCGTATTGAATCTGTTCAGAGGAAATTTTTACGTTTTGCGTTCAGAGGTTTTGGCTGGTCTCATCCTTTTAGATGGCCGTTGTATAAAGCTAGGTAAATGTTGATCGAATTGCAGTCCTTGAGAAATAGTGTTTATCCATCAGCTCGTGTCGGGGGTCATTGCGCCTCCTTCTTTGTTGGGCAGGTTTCTATTGGGGATAATAACGTAAGGAATCTTAGATCTGTTGAGTTATAGAATGTTCGCTATCACTCTATTGAATATGGTAGGAATGAGCCGGTCACTAGAATGCTGCTTTCTGATAATTCTAATTCTTGTAAGTAAGGGTACTCTTAGATCTAGATTTTTGTGTAATTTAAATTCGTAATTTTGTGTAAGTAATATTTTTGTATTTTCCTGTTCTTGTTTTTCTTTCTTGTCTTTATTTATCTATATTACCTATTTTGTTTTTCTCTTTTCTGCTTGCCTAATGTTCGGTTTGTTGTTAGTCTTTACTCTTTATGTTTTTTGTTGTTATTTTTATTTTTAAGTTATGCTCACCATTTTATTTTACTTGCCCTTTTTCTCTTTTCTCTTTTTACCTACATATTCCTATCTTTTTCCCTCCCTTTCCTATAAATGATGACTCTATTGCTTGGTAAATGATTGTTGCTTGGTTGAGATAAACTGATGTTTTTATTTGTGTCTATCGGCGTTATACTTAATGTTCGATCTAAGCTAAGCAATGGATGTCTGATATTAAATGAAAAAAACTTTTTTGCTAAAATCACAAAAACGTCGCCCAACGGTTGGAGAGTTGGGGTGCTTCATTTTGGTAAATTAACCCATTTTTAACTTCTAACGTCATTTCAACTTCAGCATTCATTTGCAAATATTTTAATAATATTTGACAGAAAATTTCAGTTGTGTAATATTTACAAAAAAAGTTACTAGAAGAAAATATTCGCTTTAAAGCTTTGGTTTCTTTTCTGTTCAAACGTATAGAAAAAAGTTTTTGCTTGCATTGACATTTCATACAATATAACTTTTTCAATTCTTTTGTCTATCTAGTTAGTGGATTTATTTGTGACAGTGTTAAAATATTCATAATATGAAGGAACTCTAACGTTTCTCTTGGTCCGGATATTGTTACGGTGGTGTAAGAACTTTAAAGGGTAAAAAATATTGCAAATCCTCTGTAAAAGAATACGAGTATACATATTATGTACATTTAAATTACAAAATTTAATTAGTTATAAAAGCATATTTTCGTAAATTTCGATGCATTATGTAGTTAAATAAATATAAGAGACCATCTGATTCTAATCAAACAAAATCCATGCACAATATTTGACGTCTAAGGGCCCTGAATTGACAGTTTTACAAATTTTGCTTAGTTAAAAACTCTTTTGACATAGTAGGTCTGTCTGGGACAAAACTTGAAAAAACTTTAAAAAGAGAAACAATGACGAAACCGATTTCTCGCAGAAAGAAAACAAATTCAACATAAACAAATATTTTTTGGTTATACCAAAAACTGAAAATTTTGATTTTGTTTATTTTATTTTTAATTACAAAGTTTTGAAAAAAAGTTATTGTTGATGAATTTTTTTTTTCAAAAACCTTCTGACTTAACCAAGAAAAACATTCATATGTTTCAAAAATGAGAATGTCATCATTTTCTCTAATTTTTGTTCAAAAATTATCCAAAAACTTTATGAAGTTTTTAAAAGTTTTTAAAAACTTTCTTATACCAGACAAACCTAGTATAAGCAACTTATTGCAAATCAAATACAACGTCAACTAAAAATTACAATCGATTGTAAAAAATTGCAAACTTTTTTTTAACCGATGAAATCATGTGTGAATTCTTTAAGATAAATTAATAAAACACAAGTTAAAAAAAAACGAATAAAATTTTAATTGAAAAAGTAAAAATTTGTATTAAAAGGAAGATCAAAAACTTGCCAAATTTTTTGAAATTATGAAATTGTTTAGAAAAGATTTTAAATCTACATATGTATACGAGTATACGTTAAACCAGAGCTGTATTTGTTTACATGTATATGTACTGAGAAAATAGGGCTGGAAATTTATAAAAATTTTATAAAATTTAAAAAAACTTTAAAAAGTTTTAGAATGCAAAGCGTCTGGTATAATACTTTTTTGGAAAAAATTAGGGAAAATAATGACGTTGTCGTTTTCTCAATGTAACAGTTTTTACAATGTTAAAGTTTTTTCAAGTTTTTTAAAGTAAAATTTATTGCTTTAAATATTTAGCTGTTAAAATATAATATGTTCTTCTTTATGTACTGTTTATGTTCTTTATGATTGATAAATATTTATCAATATAAAGTTTTTTCAACTCTCCCGTCACGCTTATTCTTTCTTTAAATCAAGTTTTTTTTTCTTTGTGAGAAATGACGTCACTGTTTTCTCTTTTTAAAGTTTCTTAAAATTTCATACCAGACAGAACTAATATTTCAACTTTTTTAGTTAAGGCCCCTTTATTGCGCATATTTTCGCCAATTTATTCAAATCATGTACATAACCCAGAGATCGTCAATCTTTCTTAAGAGTGGCTCAAAATCAACCAAACATTAAATAAAACGATATACCTAAACCCACAATCTCTTTAAAGCGCGACTTTCATATTTCTATAATTATGCAAATTTTATGTAATTAAGATAACTTCAAGGTCAAATTTTATATAGCATAATTTCATTTTATACCACTTTTCAAAATATTCACAAGATATGCCACATAATTTCATCGATATTAGTCTAATATATACAACCAACAGACTACAGAATTCGAAAACCAATTTTAAATGAAACAACCAATACCTGAAAAAGGAAATAAAAAACTTATGATATAAATTAAAACAATAATGTTATTAATTGTTTTTGTTGTTTATTTTTATAATATAATGATTTTTTTTCTAATTTTATTTAATTACACAACTTTTTTAAGCGAAAGTTCACAAAAAAAAAATAAATATTCAAAATGGGATATATTTTATAGTGTATGATAATTAAATATCAAGACAGATAAAATATAACTGAACTGGGCAGTTTATTTTTTGCTTTTTTTTATTAAAATAAATTAAAATTTATGATGAACAAAATTGAAACTGGTTCTTATTTCAAGTAAAAAAAACAGAACTTAAGTATGTAAATCAAAAAAAAAACAGTCCTTAAACAGAGAATTATCATAATTTACATATATAAATAATTATTTAATAATTTTCATGTTGCTTTCATTTATTACGAAATCAAAATTCTATGTTTAAATTTATTTTATAAAATCGCACGAAAAAAAAATATATACCTAAAGGTATGTATGGATTAAATCAAGTAATGATCAAGGAGGAATTTAATTTTTTTATTTTAAATTAAACAAAAATAATAAAAATTTATGAAAATAATAAATTTAGTAAATATGAAAACAAAACGTTGAATTTACACATATACATATATGTATTTTAATTAAAAGATCTTATAGACGAATTCCTGGATTTGTAGCTGCAACATAACGTAATAATTCATCGGAATCTTCGCAAATAACCGGTTTTTCATGATAACATGCAACATCATGCCATTGAATACCATCATTATATACATTATTTAAAACTGATAGACATTGTTCTTTTGTTTGATTAATATCATATTCGGCATTATCGGGTTGTGGCCGTTTTTTATGTCCTGTCTGTGACCATGGATTATATCCCCAATTTTGTGGTATACGATTTGTGGCTTGAATCTTTTCACGTGTTGCTGACCAGAACCAACCAAAGATATTTTTAGGTTCTAAATCTGGACGATTTTCACAGCCAGCAAAATCGCATATACGACCAGATGTCCATATATATGGTACATCATTTTGTTGAATAACTCGGAATATTAAATTGTTCTTTTCTTGTGTCTCTAATGATACTAAATCCATACAATATTCACGACAAATATTTCTTCCATCTAACCAATCAAATTTTTTATTTGCTAATTCTGGTACGTGTGAACTTAAGAAAAAATTTCTACCACGATAACTAAATTCTTTCGGCCCTGTTAAAGAAAAAAAGTATTTTTTTTTTGTTAATATTTAATTGGATATAAAAAAAAATATATAGTAAAAATGTTTTGTTATCATTATTATTGAAAATAAAATCATAATTACTTTACTACTACCAATGTATGTATGTGTTTGCGTGTATGAATATGTACGTACTCTGATAATAATTAAAAAAAAATCGTGTATGCATGTATATATGTATGTTATATTCGAAACTCGAATTTGATCGTTATAATTACAGTTAAACTTTAATCCTATACCGTTTTTTCAAAATTAATGAAAGATTCTACATACGTAGTGAGACAGGCACCAAGAAAAACATGTTTTTGAAATTAAAAAATTAATCTTTTAAAAATATTTCACAAAATTTTAATTTTATCATTCTGTATCTTGTCGAATGTGTGCAAAAAATAAAGTGATTGATCAATTGAAATGGAAATATTGAGAATTTAATCAAGTAAACTGAAAGTTTATTGTAAAATTTATTTACAAGATCAGTCTACTATATACTTCATATATGTGATTTATATTACAGTTACTTGCGATAAGATTTGACTTTCATTTTGTAAGATAAATAAGATACTTTAATTTTTCGAAAAATTAAATTGTTTGAAATAAAAAACAAAATGTGAATTTGTTAAACAAAGAATAAATCTAGTAAGAATAACCTATTAAAATGATGTGCATATAAAATTAATAAAAATTTCAAATTTGACAACGTGAATTCAAATTATGGTGCTATGGAAAAGGTTATTTTAGTAAAATATATTTATTCCCAATTTTCACCCCCCTGGTAAATTGAACCTTTATTTCCATAACAAAAATTAAATTATTCCAATAGTTAAATTAAAATTAATTGATTGAAAAGTTTTAGTAATATCGGTAATAAATGATTTTGAACAAAATATTTTTCTTATTTTAAGCTTTTAAAGTAAAGTGACACACAAAATGCACAAATAAATAAAAAATATCCATAAACAGTGTTACAAGAATATACAACATTTAAAAAAAATAGTTGAATTATCACTTTTTTGATCATTTGTTTGCACTTTGAATGAAACAATAACTTCAAAATCCTTACAAAAATAATTTAATTTGTGCCTCACCCCTAAATTTCCAATATTGCTGTTATGTTAGTATATATTTACATAAATAGTTAATTAGTTAATAATTGTTAAAATGTACTATGTATTAAATACAATATTAGTATTTTATGTTTAAAAAAAAATTCTAAAATATCTTGCCGTGAACGGGAATGTCATTTGCAATTTGGACGCAAAAAATGAAGTCATCTATTTAATTTCATATTTCTTCACTTTTTGACTACTTTTGCATTTAATGGCGTTCCCGACTATAACCTGATATATATACATTAGATTTAGAATTTACAATTCATTTTTTAGGTTATATACTATTATACCAAATTAAATGTTATTTTACAATAGAAACAAACCAAAGAACCTATAGTAAATTTATTTTAAATGATATTTAAAGGTAGAAACTCTACAGAAAGCATTTTGAAAAACTAAAAATAAAATATAAAAGATTATATATGTAAGTAAGGAGTGAAATAATTTTTATATACTTAACTATTATGCGTAAATTTACATACTTTATAAAGACATTTTTTATGTAGATTTTCTTTCTGGGCATATTGATTATGCATTTTTTTTAGGTTATGTATGAATTTTGCGTTTGCTAAATTTTGTTTAAAAGCCGAAACATGTATACTAGAAAATTTTTCATTGTTGCCAAACAAATAAAAAAAAAACCAAAAAATTTTGTATATTTAGTTTTTAATTATTTTATATTTTTGTTCAAAATAGCCAATTCTTTCAAAAAATGTTGTTTTGAAAAAAAAAAGTTTTTCTTTAAAATTATTTTCTTTGGAAAGAAAAACGTACATTTTTTCTGTTCTTCATTTTTAATATTTTTATATTAATTTTAAGGTAATAAAAACATAAATTATTGATTAATTAAAACAAGTTAAAACAAAAACAAAAGATATAATTTCTAAATATTCTAAGATAAAAGATACAATAAGATAATAAAATTATATAAATATTTGCATTAGTAAAACACAAATGAAAATATAAAAAAAAATGTAATAACAATCTATTGAATTTAATGAAGTAAAAATTAAAAATTTATTTCATTATTCAAGAAGTATAATATTATGTAAATGGTTAAAGAAATAAAAAATTAAGTATAAGTTGTTATTTTACAGAAGAAGTATTATTTGTATGTATATATGTACATAAAAATTGAAGTATATATACATGTACATAACATTATTAAAATATTTATGCTAAAAGAAATCTTAGAAAACTATTTTTTTGCTTAGTTACAAATACAATTAAACAACAAACATTTATACATACATATATACACACATTTCGATCATTCATTTTTATTTCGTTTTGACAAACAATCATTAAAATAAGCTTGAAAATTGTGGTTGATATTAAGAATTTTTCTATAGAATTAAATTTTGTGCTTGATATGTTTGTAATATTGAATATTATTTGTTAAATATATTTTGAAATTCAATAAATTATTAACAATATTATTTTTACTGAAAAAGTATCATTGTAATTGAAAAAACTGTTCATAAATTCATTAAAATTACAAGAAAATTAAAATGAATGAGCGAATTATGTATATACATATATGTAAATATATATACATATACATATATGTAGAAGTAAATATATGTATAATCTTAGATAAAGAGTGTTTTAATTATTTACATTTAAATTTGTATGTATATATAATTTTATTTCTGTTCTCAAATATTATTATTTTATTTGTATATAAAGAATTAGCTAATTTATAAAGGAATACGATATTTTGAAGCAACATAATTTAATAGTTCATCGTTGTCTTCACAAATAACTGGTTTTTCGTGATAACATGCAACATCATGCCAATAGATACCATCTTTATAAACATTATTTAAAATAGCTAAACATTGTTCTTTTGTTTGATTAATATCATATTCGGCATTATCTGGTTGTGGTCGTTTTTTATGTCCTGTTCTTGACCATGGATTATATGTCCATCCTGATGGTATACGATTTGTAGCAGTAATCTTTTGACGTGTTGGTGACCAGAACCAACCATAAATATTCTTTGGTTCTAAATCTGGACGATTTTCACAACCTTTAAAATCACATATACGACCAGATGTCCATATATATGGTACATTATATCTTTGTATAATACTATTAATAAAGTAATTTTTTTCTGGTGTTTCAATTGATACCAAATCCATACAATATTCACGGCAAATGTTACGACCATCTAACCAATCATACCTTTTATTTTTTAATGCTGGTACATGTGAACTCAAAAACAAATTTTTTCTTCCATATCTAAATTCTTTTGGTCCTGAGCATTTTTGAAAATTAAATAATTTTTTTTTTTGAAAAAAGAAAATATATAAAAACTCATGAAAATCTTAATTCATTTATAAAAATTTCCTATAATTCAAATTAGTTCTATCCTAATACAATAACTGAAAAATTATATGAGTCGAAATCATTAATTTTTAATTTAACAAAAAAGTTTTTAATTTAAAAAACTAGAACGTATTTTAACGCATTTGAATGTAGTATTGAAATTTTTATTGCTCAGTATTGTTTGTTTTTTTTTTTTATTTGAAAACTCTTAAATATTATATATTAAAACTTTTATTATCTAATATAATTATGACATATTCTTATATAAGTCAAGTAAAAATATATAATATAGTAAACGAGTTGTCACAAACCTAAACTGAATCATTAACCCAAATTAATAAAATCCACAATTATTAAAGAAAAAAAAAGAGTCATTCTGTTTCTTCATTTTACTTTTGGGTAGCACTTATTAAATTAATATCGTATTTTACATAAGTTTTATGCTTATATAATATATTTATTTATGTACATTAAAGGATTTTATATAAAAATAATAATGAAAGTTTTTATAATATAGTTTAACAATTTTATTATTATATATTTTAATACTTAATCATTTTTATTCAATATTATAATATACAAGCTGCTAATATTGTGGTTCTTATTGTTCATTCTAAAAATCGCCCAAGTTTTTTGATAATATTCAATTTTTTGGCACTTTAATAATAATTTTCAAAAAATGGAGTTAATCGATTTATCCTGTGAACTGCTTATGTAAACATAATTTTAGTTTCGTATTAAATAAAAAAATTACAGAAACTACTGAACAGTGTTACAAATTCATTCTCTTGTTATTATTATTAATTTATTCACATATTTATTTTGACAAAAGAAAAATACTCTCTAATTTTATTTTTCCATTTAGTTTTTAATTTTGTGAACACCCATTATTAATAATCTTGAATAGCTATCACATTTTTTCCTTTAAGGGTGTGACATTAAAAACAAACGAATTATTTATTATAATAAAAAACGAAAAATTGCATCTGGTGATAATAATTGGAAATTGGTCAATAAATTAAACAGCATGGCAACATCATAATACTATAAGAATATAACAATAATAACTACTAGTTTATTTTTCTTATTTCAATCATAAATTTTCAAGTATAAAAGAAGGTGTTCAAAAATGACATGATATTCGAAAATAATTTATGAAAATTATTTTAAAATTGCAGAATTCACAATGCTTTTTTAATATATTCATAAATTAATAGTTTTTTTTTCCAACTTTTCGCTCTTACTTTTGGCATTAAATTTTTTAAAGATAAACGTGCAAAAAGAAGATGATAAACCAAAAACTTTTTTGTTAATAAAGAGAAACAAAAACAAAATTTCAAGACTTGAATGAGCTTAATATCACAAAAGAGGCCAGCATATGTAAGGAAAACTTAACTACTACTGTAAAAACAAAAAACCAGTTTTTATGAATTCATTTTCATTTTAAGTACATAGATTTAAAAGAAAAATATAAATAATAGTTTACATTATATTGGAATGTTTATGACCTTCTACACCTTTATAAATTGACCTATTGGATATACATACAATAGGTGTATACAAAATGTGTATGAATAATTGTTAATTAACACTTAACGTATAGTGCATAGAGATTTTCGCATATCATACGATTTGTTTTGCAAATAGTAAAAAATAAAATTGGAATTAAAATTTTTTAACAAAATTTTATGCGCAAACAATTTTTATTATCCCTTTTATAGGGCCCTTTCACAACTTTTGCAAAGTACTTTGAAACAATTAATTAATAAAAGAAAAATGCATAAAACACAACCAATAAATAAAGACCAATTTAACAAAAATCCATCCCCATTTCTATTTAAAAAAAATGCAAAATATTGCAAATTTTTTATTTTAATAAAAAAATATTAAAGGTGTTAAAATATGATGTGATTTTCCCATCAAAAAATATAATTACTTTCCTATCCAATTGATCGTCGGTTTCTATAAGGATTATCAAAATGAAAAAAAAATAATTAAAAATATCACTATTTATTTACTTTACAATCGGAATTCTCCTTTTTTCTAAATGGATAATTCATTTTTCCAATAAGATTGAAAATTATATCAATGGGATTTTTGCATTTTTTGAATAAATTTTGTATACATTTTAGAAAAAACGAAATAAACAATACCGAATAATTCTTCTCACTCGAAAATTACATTATACAAATATATGATAGTTTCTTCTCACTTGCTGAATAAAATAGCGAGATAGACGGTCAGGCATTCTTATTAACTGATAAATAAGTCTTTTAAAAAATGTTGCAGTTATCAGCTGGTTTTTGTTTTTTTCAATTTTAGTTTATAGATTCCAAATATTGCTATTAAAAATTCTTAAATCGTAGCTTCAGTCTGATAGTTAGCTTATAATGCAAACAATCCAAGTAGATCTTCTACTTATCCACACTTATATTTTGTGCAAAAATTAAAAATTTATGTAAAATTGCATTGTTATTAACTGACAAATAAAAACTAAAAAAATTATTTCTATTCACAATTAATTAAATTTTTTTTTATATTTTAAGTTTTTTTCCTAGACTTTCATATATAAAGTTGACTTGGAGGTGATGTGCTATTAAATTTCAAAGTTTTTTATAATTTAAATTTTTTTTATTTCATATTTTAATGAATGTCTCTAGAAAAGAATTTCCAGGTCACATTATGGCGCAATTATTATAATAACGGCTATTTGTCTTATCTTTTCGCTGAATAATTTTTTTATAATTGAATTATAAGTTTTTAAATATTTTTTTGACATTTTAAAAAGTTAAAATTTAGCAAGTATTTATGTACTTTAAATTTAATTACAAATATATAGATTTAGTAAATAATATATGAATTAAGGTTCAAGACTCTTAATAGAATTTATGACTGTACTTGCATATTATGTACATCATGTGAATTGTGTAGTTAAAATTAATATTTTATGGGCCAGCATATTTCTGCAATTTCTTACAACCCTAAATGGTCTTATTAATTTTACTTTAATTATAAAAATTTCAGTATAAGAATAATAAACACTATATAATAAAAATTAAATATCATGTCGGGTAATATACATCACCCATGTATGCGTAAAAAAATAAAAAAAAAATTTTTGAAATATTTGTAAACCGCAATTATACACCTTCAAATACTAGTTTGTCAAATACCGGTGTTTTAAAACCTAAAGTGTATGCATAATATTATCGGAAATTTGAATTCCGCCTAGAATCTTATATAATAAAGCAGAAGTTAAATTTCGAGTAAGATTGTTTAATGTAATTTTTTAGTATAGTAGTGGAAGTCATATTCGATATTCAATATACGAGTACCAATTAGTTGTCATATTTGCTTAGTTCTTTATTTTTAACATATTTTTAAATATGTAAATATGACGTATACGTATATTGACTATATATTAGTTTATAGCAAACGTATACAATTTCAGGTGGTTTTTAAAGGTACTTTTATAATCTGCTACATACAGGAATTGCAATTTTAATAATAAATTGAAATAATCTGTTTAATTAATTAAATTTAACCATTTATTACAATTATTTTTTTCAATCAATAAGTTACTATATATACATATTTAATCTTAAAAACCTACATAGTGTGCATATTGTACACAAGTTTTAATTGTCAAGATGGATAACCTTTGAGTCATAAAATAATATAAAAATTGTTAAGTTCCGCTTCACGCGGAAAAATAGATGATGTTATATATAAGCTTTCATATTTATTTATATTTTATTAAATGAGAAAGAATATGACAACTTTTTCCTTTTAAAGTAATAAAACTAGAAAAAAAAAACAATATAAAAATCAGAAAATATAAAATTCAAGTTTAAAGAACAATTCAGATTGATGATCAATATTAGTTTCGTAATGCATAGCTTTACTTCTTAAATATTTATTATATTGATATTCATATATGATTATGTGAATTATTGAATATTATTAATATGCTTGTAATGCTATATAGTATAGATTTGTCCCAGGTTATGTCTACATTTTAGTTTGTAAATCTATTAAAATCAATTGTGGGTTTTACACGTAATATCATCAAGTGCAAATTTTTATAAAACTTTTAAATTTTTTCTCTTCCTAGGTTGTTATAACTCATATTTATTCATATACCTCTTCTATATTATATAGGTAAATTTTAACTATATTTTGAGAGACATTCTATATTTATATACGAATAAGTTTATATAATAAATCTTGTCTTATGAAAAGCTAATTAATTGCTTTAATAATTGTAATCAACAGCATTAGTTATTTTTCTGTTTTATTTTTCTGTTCTCTCAATCGAAACCGGATATTCTTATTTATAATGAAGTTTTAATGCATATAAGTATATAATATATATTTATAACATTTTAATTGCTCAATATTAGAAAATTTTTTGAAGTTTTAATGCTGTACAATTTACAAAATATACCTGCCTCACAATTGGAATTAATTTATATTAATTCGGATGAAATCAATCGTATTTAAAGTAGCATTTTTTCTCCTGAACAAGAGAAATACATTTTCTAAAAAGCAATCTACTATAGCTATTCCAATAACTTCCATTGATACTAAAATAATTTCTATTGTTGCATACATATGAGACAAGAAAATTAATTGAAAAAAGTGTTAATATAATGGTCAAATTCGACGTTAATTAATGTAAGTTCTATACGCAAAAAAAATATATTAAATTTTATATATAAATTTTTAACAGTGTGTGTATTTTATGTGCATTTGTTTCCTAATCAATTTTATCGAGATCAATGAATATTTGCATGAAATTAATCATTTTATATTAGTACTATAAATTTGTTTATCTATGAACTTTAAATGCATTTAAATATCTTACACATTTAATTTTAAGACTTAAATAATATAATCGTATTATCCATTAAATTACAACTGAAATTTGTATATATTTATATAATTATATCCATATACATATATATGTACATAAAACGCTTAAAAATTGGGTTAATTTAAAATAATTAATTATTACGAAAACATACACATTCCGCATGTACTTATGAAACTTTAATACGTGGACGTATAGTAGGGATATGCGTTCAAAAGCGAATTAATTATGCATACACATTAAAATTTAAAAAGTAGAAGTTTAATTTTTACAATTTTAGAATATACATAAAATACATATGTATATGTATACATAAACATGAATAGAGTTGTGTATAAAAACATGAATTTTATACCGGAAAGTAAGTATAATTTTAACTTTATGTTTACATTTTAATTTTCTGATAGAAATTTTAAAACAGCAAACACTAGTTTACATGAACTGGGTACGAACCATAGCAGATTTAAAATTTATTATCATATCTATTAAAATTAGCAATTTGAATTTTCAATTTCACTTTTTATAATTGAGATATTATAACATAAAATTAATATAATTAAATTCATCTTTTATTTTATACGAATTTAAATTAAAAAATATTTATTTAAAAACCACAAATTTAATATAAAAAATTATGAAAAACTAAAATTTCTGCTTTAAAAAGCTTACTGCAAAATTTTGTCCGGTTTTATATTCGGCTCTATTAGGGAAAGTTTTTAAATTTTCACAAACATGTAAATTACAAATTTGAGAACATATATAAAAAAAAATTTTAAATTTTTTGTCGAAAAAATTTGAACTATGAGATAATACTGCTATATGGTTTATTAGTTCGACAGTAGTAGTAGAATGACTGCGCTGGACAAAGGTTTTGCCAGTCATAAACCTGCTACCTATAAAATAAATGAATTTGTTCATTAAAATGCATTTCTGCTGTGAACTCAAATAACGTGGTTCATTGAACTTTTGAGTTACAAAAATGTCAGCTGTTGAAATATTTTTTTTTTTTGCTTTTATTAAAAAAAATCTTTGTACGTGTCAATATTGATCGTAGTTTTTCGAAATAAATTTAAAAAAAAAATTTAATATTTAATTTTTTCTTTTTTTGATTTTTATTTCAATAAAAATTGGTTTCACTTTTCATTTGATATTTTGATGTTTCTTATGTTGGGACATAAATTTAGTTTTTGAATAGCCAAATAGTTTACTATTGAAATATTATTTATAGCTATAAAATATGAATTAATTTATTATGCATTCTTGCATGATCGTTACCTATATAAACATAGAAATATCAAGTATTCAATCAATTTCATTATTGTTATAAATAGACTTATCAGCTTTTAAATTTAAATTTATTATAAATTTCGCAAAGGCAAGATAGATTTCTGATAATAAAGCATGCAATAATGTTAAATTATATTAAAATTTTATTTGAATAGGTAGTAGATTGTATTATTAAAAATTTTTTTATAAATTTATCTATAGTTATAAAGTAAAACTATATTATATGGTATTTAGAATTTGTAATTTCTAATTCAAATGAGGAGATTTACAGATAGTATTGAAAATATTTGGGAAACTGTAATACTTTCATTATATTTCAATACTTTTATTATATTAAAGTTTTAAATTTAATTTAATTTTTCGATTAGCTGGAAAATTAGTTTTATTCATTCCGAATATTCGGAATGAATGAACGAAAACGCTACTTTTATTCAATAAAAACATTTTGAACACCGAATGACTTCATGTAATGTAAATTTTTTTATCGGCGCCGTTTACATATATGACAAAATATAAGTCTAAGTCTAAAAATGTACGGCAAACTCTGATAATTGCTTACATATCAGCTATTTGATAGAACTTAAACTTGACAGACTTTTAGATTTTTGATTTAACAGTATCTTCCATTCCAGTTTTGTTCAACAACCAAAATTTAGCTTCATTTAAATAACAAGTATAACATTGTAGTATAAAACAAAATGTTGTAGGACCTTGCAACAATTTATAACATTAGTAAATTGCTAATGTTATAAATTATCTTTGTATTATTTTTAAATTGTTACAGGAGTCTTCTCAAAATATACATGATGATCGAAAATTAATTCTTTACAGTTAATCACAAAGCTTTCACGATAAAAATATTACAATTTTTGGATTTTTGAATATATTACTAAATTATAGTTTCTAATAAGTTATTTTTCCTAAATACCTACATATTGATGTTTTCATACATATTTTATGTAAGAATATTTCAAATAATTTAAGTACAATTTAATGATAAAAAAAATAATTTAATTATAAAATAATTTTAAATGAGTGCTTTGAATGTCATAGAATTTCAAAGTTTCTATATATATATGTATATACTATTTTTTATATACATAAATGTATGTTTATATTATATTTTTATAATTAATCAAAATAATTTTCGAAAAATCTATATATATAGAAAAATGCGAAAACATAGATTATGTATATATGCAATTATTGTATTCCAAAACCAAGTATATTCTTTTGAAAACATTAATTGTATATTATGTATATATGTATATATATATATAAAGTAGGAATGTATATAATGGAAAGATATTATATATAAAAGTAAATATACGTATGTATAAGAATAAAAATGTTTTTAATTTTAGAAACAAAAATTATAAAAGCATTTTTTATTTACATAAATAAAAATCAAGTAGAATTTTGTATGTATATGTTTTTATGTATAAAGGATGTTCATGCATAAAACATATTTATGTGTATATGTACGCATTCATACATTTCTCATAATATTATATATACATAATTATATATTTGTTTATGTGTAAAAAATAAGTATATAAGTTAAAAAATTAATAAAAGTAAATATGGTTTTTTTGTTGTGTTTTTTTTTTTTTTTTGTGGAATTATAACCTGTGTATTTGAACAGTTTGGTGTGACAACTACATTTATAAGTTTATAAAGTTTTTAAAATTAATAATTGTAAATTGTTTTTATAAATAAATAAAATTATATAAGTAAATATTCAATTTTATTTTTTTTTGTTTTCATATGTTTGTGTTGGAAATATTTTATATAAAAAGTAAATAAAGATTTTTATAATGTGCAGAATATATTTTACATTTAAAACATTGAAAACATGCAACACAAAACAAAAAAAATTATATTTAAAAATTGTTATTTAATAATAAAAACAAGAATATTAAAAATAAGAAAACAGACAAAGTGAAACGTAAATATTTAATTATATAATTTATTAAAACTTTATTATTTTGTTGGATCTTGTAGGATATTTGGTGGCTCTCGCTTTTCGATCTAAATACTGTGACATCATTGATTATAAAATGACAAGAAACTTTTGTTTTAACATTTTTGAGGAGGTCACATGAAAAAACCGCATGAGAAGGTCAAATTCAAAATGATTCAAAAAGGTGAAAAAAGCAATATATGCCATTTATTAAAAGGATCAAAAATGGCTAAAATTTTTGCTCCAGAGTGGGTATCAAATATCAAGTTTAACCTATTTCTGATTTTAATATAGCAATTTTTGAAATTTTCGTATACCTCTTCTAAATGATTTTTAAAATGTTATATTTCTTATGTCATTCATGTCAAATTATCAAGGTCATATGGAGTGGGTTATGAAATATAAGAGATCAAATCCCATTCTATATAAATAGAATTAGGTAGCTTCATACTTTTCTTGAGATACAATTTGTAAAAATAATTTCGTTTTGAAAATTTACCGTCATACTTGGAATATTGTTTTTTAATTTTAATTAAATAGCGTCATTCCTCACTTTCATTTTGATTTTAAATATTATTAAGGTATCTCTGATTCTTTCTCTGAGCATTTACTTTTGGAAACTCATTTTATGTGAATAAAAAAAAAACAATTTATTTTAAAATTTACTTTAAATTTTGTAATAATTAGAAGCAATTATAGCTTAAGCCCCTGATATCCTACAATTTCTTTTCATATATTTAAAATATTTCAAATAAATTAACTAGATTATTAAATTAAAAAGAAAAGACAAAAGGAAAAAATAAAGTTAACACTTACTTGAAGAACATTTTGCTGGGACTGGTAATGATAAAAATCTTCCAGGTTTTGTTGATACTGCTGTTCTAGTTCCTTGTCCAACTGCCGGTTGTGCTAATTGCGTTATTGCGCACGCTGCCAACGTAATAAGTGCGAATCTCATCTACAAAAATAATTAAAAAATATTGTAACTTTTATTCCTTAATAATTATATCAAAAAAAAAAGTTCAATTCAGATGATAAACAATTAATTAAATTTAATAGAATTGTTAACATGTTTAAAATTTTTATTATTTTAAGTAAAATTGTGAGTTATTCACATTTGAAAGCATTAACAAAGAAGCAATTTTGAATTTATTTAAAATTTTATTTTGTCTCTTATACTGCACTCTGAAAATTCACGGCTTTAACGTAAAACACATGGTATTAAAAATTTATTAAAAAACTCCCCCTGAATGTTACTCATATAAAAAAAGAGAGAAGTTAACATGTATAACATTTGGGCAGAACAAATTATCTTTTTGGAAATAATTGTTTATAAGATTTTTAATTTTTTTTAACAAGTTAAAGAATAAATTCCAAATATTTTTAGTGCTATAAAATTTATATTATTTAAGTATTTCTTAATTAGGTATTTTCTGTTTAACGTCAATCAAATCCCATACTAATTTCAGAGTTAATTACAGAAATATTTAATTCTCATAATTTATAATGCGATTAACAAGAAAATAAAATCAAAATTTTTATATAGAGAATTACATAACTTCATATATATTTGATTTCTATTAATATGCAAATAATTTAAAGAAATAATTTAAGATGAATCGGAGACAGATCTATGATAGGTGATTGTAACTTAATTTGATTAAAATAAAACCATATATTATTATAAAAAAAATATGAAAATTTTCACATGGTTTCTTTGACATATACGCTCGCGTATTCAAACTTCTCACAATCTAAACGAATATTTTGTACAAAAAAAAATACCAAAATGAATGAATGATTAAAATTTTTAAAAAATATGCATAAATTTGAATTAATAAACGATTTTTATGTAATAATGATACAATAAAATATATATTAAAAATATAATAAAAATATTAAATTAAATATTAAAATAATTTATTAAAAACTTAGCTAACTCATAATAAAAAATTAAACTGAACAAAATGAATATTACAAATTTGTTTATTAAATGTTTAATAATAAATAAAATACATATGTATAGCTGCATTATTCAATTTTATACAAATTTTTTTTTATTAAAACGAAAATGTTGTAAAAGACATTTAAAGGCCATTAAGGAAAAGTGAAAAAATTCGATTTTTTTTTTGTTTTGGTTTTCTTGTTAACATTTTTATCTTCAATCATCGTCAGGAATTATTTGCATATTATTTCATAATGAATATTTTCTTCGCACATTTTAACATCTTATAAACTCTATTATAATCTCATACCCACTTGGGGAATAATTACGGTAGTTATAATGATTTGTTTAATAAATTTTAGTAAAAAAAAAAAATTTATGAAGGAAAAAATTCGTATTTAAATGGAAAATATTTTCATTTTCGTTTTTTATTATGGAAGTTGTTGAAGTGGGTGCTACACACGCACCATCTTATGTATTATGCATATAAGAATCTATATATACACATATATACTTTATTTAATGTAATTTATATACTTGAAGAAGTTATTCTGCCAATCTTTAATGCATGTCAAGGATTAAACTACAAAGTATTTATGACATATAGTAAATGTTGTTAAAAAAATTTTTTCTTGTTTTTTTATTGAAAATTAATTTTAACACAATTTAATAACTTTAATACAATTGTACAAGCGTTTAGATTGTGAGTAAAGTTCTTTGATTTGCAGAAGCACATATTTAGAGTATCTATACATATACATATACGCTATATATAAATGTATTTGAACAATAATCTAATAATTAAATTAATTTTTATTCAATTTTAATTTCTATGAATTGTCATTAGTTAGTGCAGACGTATAGAGCCTCAATGGTTAGTAGAAATAATTGAAAATTTCTTGACAATATATTATATAATTACTATATACAAGTTAAATTGCCTAACATTATAATTAATTTTTGTATAAATTTTAATTTTGTATTCAATTTGATTTTAAGGTTTTTGTTTGTTTTTTATTGCATTTTATAGCATTTTAATTAAATTTTATTAATATAATTTTATACAAAAACATAAATTATATAATTTTCTGTTATAATAAGTTACCGTAAATCGGGGTATAGAACAATCTTTTTCAAATATTCAAATGAAATTGAATTCAAATTGGTTGAATAACAAATTCAAATTTACTAAAAGGGCACAAATTTACATAAGTATAGATAAAGTGACGAAAACGGAATTAAAGTGAAATTTTATTTGAATATAAAATAAATAAGAAATAAATTGAAAAAATCGTGGAAACTGTATGGACGTCATTTTCTTTAGCATAAGATATTCCTATTGTCAAGCCGGAATATTGAGCGGTAATTTTGTATTTGTGCAATACTTTTCTTTTGGAAATTTGAATAGTAATTCAATATTACATATTTTAAATAATATTATTTTCTGTAGAAAGGCTATTTCATTTCCATATTATATAGACTTGGTTTAATTTAATTGATATAACTGAAACTTTGTATATATATAGTTTTAGTTATATATAACTCGTCTAGCTTCAATATGAATTTACAATAAAAAAATCTGATGTGGTCAGCACATAACCGACCGCATTGTGTATTGTCTAGTTAAATGAAAGTGTTACAGAATATTATAAAAATGTCTTTTAAATACTTCTTTCCAATTTTTAGGACATTAGTAAGCTTATAGTTAACATACTTAGAAAAATGTAAATTTGGCTCTTAGTAGAGTTTCGCTTTGTGCTACCCGAATTCCCTGAAATGCTCGCCAGTTAGTTTGGGTAACAACCGGAACTCAAATATCAAATTTCAAGAAATTCCATCAATTTGTTCTGTGGATATGGTGAAAAATGTAAAATCGGCCCGCAAATCCGTTTTCGAGCCCTGATCTTTCCAAAAAATTTATATGTTCATTGTTTTAATACGAGGAGTTCATATATTAAATTTCAATGAAATCGGTTGATTATTTCTCTTTATATACACAAAAATGTATATTTGGCCCGTAGTAAACGTCTAGTTGCCGATGCCTGATTTCTTCCAAAACATACGAATTTTTGCGGACGGTCGAGCTGAGCTTATATATAAAATTTCAAGTAAATCGGTTGAATACTTTCTTCAAAATGTTCAAAAATGTAAAACAGGCCCGCTAAAAAGTGCAGTTCCCGAGGCCTGATATATACCAAAAGTTGATCGATCCGTGCCATGGTGGAAACAAACTTACATATAAAATTTCATCAAAATCGGTTCAGCCGAACTTGAGATACACGCGTGCACACACAGACCGACAGACGGACAGACCGACAGACCGACAGACCGACAGACCGACAGACCGACAGGTTGCTAAAAATAGTTTATTTACACTTCCCTACTATGGAGAAGTACGTTCCCACCGAAAACTCGATATGCAAAATTTGTTGCCATCACATAACCTACCTATTGTTTACACAATACGGTCGGTAATATGTGAAATAAATGTATAGGGATTTTATTTTTTAAGAATTTGCTCATTTCCCTATTGTAAAATATAATTTAAGGTACGTAACCAGCAAAACTATAATGAAAAAATGGAAAAATCCGATATACCGTTACTAAGAAAATTTTGTGATTTTGGAATTCCCAGAATATTTTTTCATATTCAATACCAATTTTAAAATATGTGCAATTTGCATGAATGTATATATGTATGTGTAAAATTACGTGCTTTTCTACAGCAATTTAATTTGTTTTTTTTTTTTCAAAACAATACTTAATACATTCCTTTATATGTATATATTGTATAAATAATATATAAATAAAAGCGTATCTTAAAAATTGGCGTGTAAATCATCAAGTTGATAATTGGGCTGGTTGCACCTTGTAAAATTATTACTTAACAACTGAATATAAAATGTATATTTTAAAAATATAAAAGAAATATGGGTAACAAGCAAATATGCGTATAGATGTGAAAAATCAAAAAAGAAAACAATAAATAAATAAACGGTGAAAAAAGACCATCTTAAGTATTTAAAATTGCTTGGTGTTTCAGTATGTTTCGTATTTTTTATTTAATGCTTGACCAAATAAAAAATGTTATAACCCAAAACTATGTACATATACAATCTTTATATATTTTTTTAAAATATATATATACTTAATACGTGACCGCATATTGTGTGTACATATAAGCCTATATACACACAAATATATTGTAAGTTTTGAATTGAAATTGAATCTTAACTTGAAAATATCTTAAATGTCTGGTACAGCAAACTCGTTTTATTAGGTGAATTATTTTTTCTTTTTATTTTATTAATTATTATTATTGTTATTATTTTCACTTTTTTTTATGTCTGAAAACTTATATATGAGCATTTTTAACATATTAAGAAGATGGCACGTGAATTAACGTTGTTTTAATGCTGTGTATGTTTGTACATTTTATATTTTATTGATTGTAGTTTTCTTAATATTTTTCTTGTTTTTTTATTTAGACAAACATTTAAACATACGTATATTTTATATTGATAATGTTTGGTGAGGTTGAAAATATTTTTTTTGTTGAATTTTGTTGTTCTCCTTTTTATTTTTCAAATTACAAAATATTAAATCTTATTACTAGTTTTTTTTTTTGTGTATTTAGGTTAAGGTCATTTTTGTTACAGAATGACCTCTTCAGTGTTAAATATTTAAAAAAAAAATAAATAATTAATAATAAGAGATAATATAAATAGTAAATTTGTGTAATCCTAGAATTCGAAAAAAATCTTTTTGTTCATATTTGGTAATATTTATAAATATTTTTAGAGTTTTGAATAAAATTTTTTATTTTTTAATATTTTAAAGTGCATGTTGTTATTTCTATTTTAAATTCTATTTTTAATAAAGCTGAATATCAGGTTTATACAACACTAGCACGACCTAGTCATATTAGGTTGTACCAAACATATGTGTACATATATATATGCACATATATATATGTACATATATATATATATATATATATATTCATAAAATTC